CATGGTGTCTCCACACTGGAAAGAGAATTAGGGAAACAATGCAGCAAAAAGGCCTGGGTTCTAAATCTAGGTGAGATTCAGAATAGACTGCAGTTGGGGGCTATCTGGGCACTTGAGCTATGTCAACTTGCTGGGGGAGGCTGGAGTTCAGAAGAGAAACTGAGGCACAGGTGTGCCAATTGAGTATCTCCTTGCTTGTCTCTAAGCGTACCGCACACTGTCTGGAAGGACCCTGCCTTGCAAGGTGTCTTGGGAGCATTAGTGAACTGACTGGTTCAGGTACATGTATGTATGGGGACGGAGGAGGCTGGGCCTGGGTCCCTGCCAGGGACGCTGGTGGTGACCTGTGCCACCCCCAGGAGGGGGACACATTTAGCTGGAGTGTTACCTGTGCTCTGGCTGAGTGTGCATTCATCACCTGCAACTGCTGGTCGTGGCCCGTGTGTTGGCTGAGGTCCTTCCAGCGTTTGCTTCAGGCACTATGCCGAGCATGTTATAGCCCCCACAAGAAGTCTGTATGCGGCAGGGACTAATGTGTCTCTTTAACAGAAGAGGCACAGAGCAGGGCTGGCATCTGCCCTGCGTCTGCAGACAGAACTCAAGCGGTCCACCGTAGGTACAGTGGACTGCTGTCTTACTCGGTGCCTCGACAGAACTGCCTGGTGCGGCAGACACCATCTCCGGTCTGTGGATAAAGAATGAAGGTAGACGCCAGCTGTTGTCACTCACTCTTGGAATCTCAGCACTTGAGAGGCTGAGGTAGGAGGACTGGGATTTCAAGACCAGCCTGGGTTACATGAAGACCTGTCTTTTAAAAGGGGAGTGTCCTAGCTGGAGAGAGGTAGTTTATTGGTTAAAAGCAACTCTTCCAGAGGACCTGAGTTCTATTCCCAGTACGGACAGTAACAACTGTCTGTAATTCCATTTCAAGAGGATCCAATATTCTTTTGTGGCCTCCATGGGCACCAGGCACACATGCGGTACACAGATACACACTCAGAGCACCCACACACACAAAATAAATACTACAAAAATAGGCAAAGCGCCAGGTGGTGGCGGCGCACGCCTTTAATCCCAGCACTCAGGAGGCAGAGGCAGGTGGATCTCTGTGAGTTCGAGGCCAGCTTGGTCTACAAGAGCTAGGTCCAGGACAGACACCAAAGTTACACAGTGAAACCCTGTCTCAAAAAACAAAACCTAAACAAAATCTAGTCAAAGTATTTAAATGAAGAGCCAGTAAATCAATTGTGCTAAACCAGGTCATTTGAACACTGAAGCAGGTTTTATCCACAACTTGCAGATTTAAGCCAACGGTCCCATTTTACAGACCAGGAAATTGAAGTCTGGAAACTGGACCACATCCATCCATCTCAAACACTCCAGAGCAGGATGTCCAAGGCTTCCCCAACACCTTTCCCTTGTAAACACAGTCCTCGCTCTGTCTGCTGAGTGCGGGCTCCTCCCTTCGGGTGGAGCTTCTGCATGCAGAGAACCACAGCATCTTGGGTTTCTGTCTGTACCATCTAGACTCACTGCTCTGCAGTAAGCCGCTGGCTGCTCCTAGGTGCTCAAGGGTAGGGGCGTGGCCCACACCAATGAACTTAGTAGCCTGTAGAGGCCTTGTATAGTGCCTCCACACCTCCCCTTAGGTGATTCTCCGTGCCACTTCCTGGAGATGTCCCTGTTGGAGTCTGAGGCTGCTTGAGGGGAACCAGATCATCGGCCAGCTGTGGCTCTGAGGTGGCGAACCACGTGCTCAATCCGGTGGGCTCCAGGCCTGGCCCAGTGCGTTACAGAGGATGTCTTGGTGAGGGTAATAGTGTCTTGTGCCCTCGCGGATCCTACCTCCCTGGTTACCAACCTTACCATCTATGAGAACAAGAGAAAATAATAGCGACAACACTTGTTTGTTTTTCTGAGTGGGTGAAAATGAGGTATCTTGTCTCTCTAGCTTTAGGGATCCATCTGTCTTTCTCTGAGGGTGCATTCTTGGGGATTCTCAACCAAGCCTCAGGATGTTTTTCCTTAGAATCCCCCAGTGAGGGCTGGGGTGTGGCTCAGTGGTGGAGCCCCTGCCTAGAATCCCCCAGTGAGGGGCTGAGGTGTGGCTCAGTGGTAGAGCCCCTGCCCAGAATCCCCCAGCCCTACAAAAACAAAAACGAAACCCCAAAGTGTCTTGTTTGGTTTTTTGTTTGTTGTTGTTTTTGTTTCTTCAATAAAAAGTTTTTTTTTTTTTAATTTGGAGAGCACTCCATCCACATTGGTTGAATTTCAGCCCCTCACTCAATTTTGATTGGTTGTATCCTGCCCTTTTATTTCTCTGACTGGATAATCTCTGAAAATCTTTTATGGAAAGGAAGAGGCAAATTCTAAACTTTTCCGCCAGGGGGCGCTGTCTGGCTTCCCCAGGGCTGCTCTTCAGGAAAAACAAAACACACACACACACACACACACACACACACACACACACACAGCAAAAAACTAGGATCCTTTTAGAGGTGGGAAGAAACTGCTAAGGACGGAAAGGCGGGTAAACTGGGCCCGCCCTATTCCTAAAACCACTGCCTCGACATGGTGGCTAACTTTACAGACTTTGTTCAACTAACAGAAGATCTAGGATTCCAGAAACAGCTCTTGATATGCTGTCAACGAATACACATGTATGTATCTATATAACATATGCACCTTATGTGATACAGGGTTTTGCTAAGTGGCCCTGATGGCCACACATTCCCAGTTCTTGCCTTAGCCTCACAGGTGCTGGCTGGGTTACAAGCATGTGTCACCACCGTGCCTCATTCACCATGCTGGGTTTGGGCTTGAGTTTGTTTGTTTGTTTTTGTTATTCAGGACAGGGTTTCTCTGTGTGGCTTGACTGTCCTGAAGCTCACTCTGCAGACCAGGTTGGCCTTGAGTTCACAGGAATCCACCTGCCTCTGCCTCCCTAGGGCTGGAATTAAAGGTGTGTGCCACCATGCCCACCATGCCCAGCTTAATTCAATATGTTTTTTTAATTCAATATGTTTTAAAAGATTTATTTGGCCAGGCAGTGGTAGTGCATGCTTTTAATCCCAGCACTTGGGAGGCAGAGGCAGGTGGATCTCAGTGAGTGAGTTTGAGGTCAGCCTGGTCTACAAAGTGAGTTCCGGGACAGCCAGGACTGTTACACAGAGAAACCCTGTCTCAAAAATAAAAAAAAAATACAAAAAAAAAGATTTATTTTCTTTTTGTGTGTTTGAGTGGGTTTGTGTGCACCACGCAAACACAGGTGCTCTTGGAGACCAGAAGAGGGTGCTGGATCCCCGGAACTGATGTTACATGTGGCTGTGAGCCACCGTGTGGTGCTAGGAACTGCACCCGAGCTATCTGCAAACTCAGCAAAGCTCTTAACCCTGCAGCCTTCTCTTGAGCTCCTAATTAAATATTTTTTCTTTTCTTTCTTTTTTTTTTTTCAAGCAGGGTTTCTCTGTGTAGTCCTGCCGTCCTGGACTACACACTGTATACCAGGACAGCCTTGAACTCAGAGATCTGCCTACCTCTGCCCCTTGAATGCTCCTAATTTGGTATTTCTAATTGATTAGAGAAACCCAATACATATGAAGGCCCGCAAAGGTCATCAGTTTGTGAAAGTCTTTCCTATTTGAGGGCTGGGATGTAGCTTAGTTGATGGAGTGTTTGTCTGCCATACATGAAGCCTTGGATCCAGTCTCCAACATTGCTCAAACTCCAGACATGGGGATCTATCCACAATGCCGACACTAGGAAAGTAGAGACAGAGGGGTCTGAAATGCCAGGTCACCCACAGCAAGTGGTGAGCTTGGCTTTGGGGGGAGGTGCTGGCTGTGTATGAGTATCCTGGGAAAGAAACCCATAGTAATAATCTAATGCAATTATTTTAAATTTACATTTTTATTTGTGTGTGTGCGTGCACACACACATGTGCGCATACACACGTACTACAGCATGTATGGAGAAATCAGGTGACCATTTTCAGGAGTTGGTTCCAGGGTTGGTACTCACGTGGGCTCAGACTTCCGTGGTTCCAGCTTTCCTGCGCTGGACTCTTTTGAGGGCCATAACTGAAGGCTTTCTTTCGCTCCTTTCTTCTTTGCCTTTTCTTAGTCCGTCTCTCCGTGTAGCTCTGGCTGGCCTGGAACCCACTCTGTAGACCAGGCTGGCCTTGGGATCACAGGGTTCTGCCTGCCGCTGATTCCTGGGTGCCGGAGTTACAGGTGTGCACCGCCACCACCCAGTCATGTTTCCATAACTGTCCCTACTGTACTGGTGCTTCTGGGCTGTCAGTGGGGACATGACAGCTTCTCACTGGCTTTTCTGGAAGGGAATGAAGGCAAGGGACAAATTGCTCTGGTTGGGGTTGCCCTTCCTCCAAAAAGTCCCCAGTCCCACTTCACCCCAGGGCAAAGCTCTCCTCTGGCTTCTCCGTCTTAGCCATGACCCTCTGTGCCTTCCAGGCTCACTCACTTTGAGCTGTCATTGGTCTGTCTCCCTACTAGAATGCGGTCCTAGGAGATGGGGACATATCTAAATAATTCTTCTTCCTCCTCCTCCCTCCTTCTCTCCCCTTCTTTTTTATCACCTCCCTTTTCTTTGTAGCCCATGGCTGTCTGGAATTCTCTCTAGCCCAGGTTAACCTCAAACTGTCCACCCTCCTGTCTCAGATGTTTGAGCGTGATTATAGGCAGGTGCCATCCCGCTCGACTTCTGCTTTATCATGGCCCAGCAGCCCCCAGAACAGAAACAGAGCAATGGCTGTTTGTTTGTTACATAAATAAAGAATTGGTTCCAGGGTGTGTACTGTTATTCCGCACTACAGGACTATGGGTAATTTGAGGGAACTGTCCAACTCATACAGTAGTGAGAAACCAGTAGGGCTTTGAATCTGGGCAACTTGACTTCCTATTCTGTGTTCTTATCCAACATGTCAAATGACTGGTGACTGATGTCAGCCTGCTCAGCCTGTTCTTCTGGAAATCTTGGGGAGAGCATGCAGGCTGGTGGGGAGGTTAAGGACTGTGGGGACAAGGGGGAGGCACCAGAAAACCAGACACCGGGCTGATTTTATGGTGAGCGAGGGGGAGTCTGGAGGGGCTTCGGTAGACCCATAGGGGGCAGCCGGAGACGGCAGCCAGAGATGCGGGGGCGGAGAAAGGGTGGGGACCGGCCCTGCGGGGGGCGATGCGGTAGCTGCAGCGGCGGCCGAAGGAGTTTCCCACAATGCAGCGCGGCGCGCTGTCCCCGGTGCTGATGCTCAGCGCTGCCCCGGAGCCTCCACCGCGCCCGCCTCCCGCCCTTTCCCCCCCGGGCCCAGGCTCAGCGCCTCGCCATGGCTCAGCTCGCCCGGGTCCTGCCCCAGAGCCGTCTGGGGGCCTGGCTGCGGCACTCGACAGCAGCCTGCGGGCCGCCGTGGCGTTCAAGGCGGAGGGTCAGCGCTGCTACCGAGAAAAGAAGTTCCGAGAAGCCATTGGCAAGTACCACCGGGCACTGCTGCAGCTGAAGGCAGCTCAGGGGGCCCGCCCTGGCGGCCTGCCCGCCCCCTCCCCCGGACCTGCAGCCAGCCCGGGGCCGGCCCGCCTCAGCGAGGAGCAGCGGCGCCTGGTGGAGAACACAGAGGTTGAATGTTATGACTCCCTCACCGGTATGGGGCCGTCGGGGCGGAGCAGGGGGAAGCAGAGGACATGGCTGAGACGGGTGGGTGGTAAGGGGCAATCAGGAGGCCTTAGGGTCTGAGGGTGGTGGCTGGAGGCTGAAGGAATCAGGGTTGTGGTCTGACGGGGAGATTTCAGAACTTACTGAGAACAGGAGGTGGGAGTAGATGAACAAGGAAGGGTTCTAGGATGGAGGAAGCAGGCTTTGGACTTGGTTCAAAGTTCACTTCCCTGACTTAATCTCCCCGATATGCCGCGCGTGAGCCAAGATTAGAAAGGCTTACCCTTCCTCCATGGCTATTTGGTTCTTAGTCCCTCACTTCTGCAATTGTTTGGGAGACCTCCAGCTAACTGCCTTAGACATGTCTGCCCTGTGCCCTCTAGCGGCGGCGCAGATCGATTCTCTACTAACGAGATAGTAGATTGGCGTCCCCTGGTGGCCAGAGCAATCCCTTAGCCAAGCAGAAGAGGCCAGGTTACTTGAGGTCATGTGAGTCCTAGGGGGTTCAGGGGTCTCCGCACCCCCGCAGCTTGCCTCCTGCAGTCGGAGCTGGTGAACTATGAGCGTGTGCGCGAGTACTGTCTCAAGGTATTGGAGAAACAGCAGGGCAACTTCAAGGCCACCTATCGCGCCGGTATCGCCTTCTACCACCTGGGTGACTATGCGCGTGCGCTGCGCTACCTGCAGGAAGCTCGAAGCCGGGAGCCCACAGGTGAGTGGCAGGGCTGGGTGGAGCTGGGCAAGGGGTTGGAGCAAAGGAAGCCCAGGCAGGAGGGCCAGGGCAGGTCAGAACTACCTCAGGGAAGTGCTGTGGCCAGCTCTTGGTCAAGACCATCCACCTTCACCAAAGGCTTCCTCACCCTGTTCCTCTGCCATCTCCCCAACCCCTCAATCACGCAAAGCAACTAAATCCCCAACCCACCGACCCCGTGTCCCCGACTGCTTACCTAGGACTGTCTTGAACACTTCCCGCCCCACACCCATATCCCCTACTCCCTCCCAGTCTGCCAGCTCCTCGGCGACCTTCTGCTCAGAACACTTGTCCTCTGCCCTTGCAGAGATCACTCAGGGTATTGTTTGTCCACATATGTGTAGGCATGCCACAAGCTGAGGAGGACAGAGGGGACACAGCAGGTGCTGGGTGCAGGGCTGTGGGATCAGAGGCAGGATTAGCGCTCCTGTCAAGGGGTTTGCTGAGAACAGTTGTCACTGGGCGATGGGTGGAGGTGTGACAGGAGCCTCTCCTGCTCAGTGCAGCACGTGTGAGACTGAGGTGTGAAATGTCCCCAGTGGCTGCTGACAGCCCAGGTGCTGGGGGTGGAGCCACTGGCTGTGAGCTGAGGTCATGAGGACATTGCCCTGTCTCAGGACACCAAGATAATGTTTACGTTCCTCCCCTGCAGACACCAATGTTCTCCGCTACATCCAGCTGACTCAGCTGAAGATGAACCGTTGCAGCCTCCAGCGGGAAGACAGCGAGAGCGGGACTGGAGGCCCAGCTCGGGATGTCCTGGGCTGAGGGCAAAGGGCAGCCTCTACCTTATTCCCTCTAACCTCACCAGGCAACTCCCCCTGGCTCGTGTGTTTACTGGTAAAGCACCTGTCACTGGTGTCTCCCTGGCTCGTGTGTTTACTGGTAAAGCGCCTGCCACTGGTGTCTCCCTGGCTCGTGTGTTTACTGGTAAAGCGCCTGCCACTGGTGTCTTCCCTGGCTCGTGTGTTTACTGGTAAAGCGCCTGCCACTGGTGTCTTCCCTGGCTCGTGTGTTTTTACTGGTAAAGCGCCTGCCACTGGTGTCTTCCCTGGCTCGTGTGTTTACTGGTAAAGCGCCTGCCACTGGTGTCTCCTTTGTGTTGTGTTATTGTGGGAATGAAACAGGAGATCCACACTTGGGTCTCACTTCCTCAGAAATCAAGAGGCCCAGGACGAAGTGTGGGGTGTAAGGGTTTCCCATTGTGGGGTAACTCAGCATTAGGGCCCAGGCTGGGGAAGCATACACAGCCAAGCTTGGTAGGGGGCAGGGATTACCTTTAATGCTGTGTTTTGTGCCAAATCCCCCACAATGTCCTGTCCCTGAGTATCCCTGCCCACCCTCTCCCCACAGCAGGTTGGGCTCAGAGCTCCACCCCCTGGGGTACAAAGGAATAAATTAAGTGTCCTCCCCTCCCCCCTTCCCCAATAAATAGAGTGAGTATCCTGCCCAGGGCCTCCCCCACCTTGGGGCATGGTGGGCTGTGGCGGGGCCTGGGGCACTACATTCATGGCTGCCCAGGCGGGTGGTGGCAGGCAGGTCTCAGTGAGAGCTGTAGGCCCCACACAAGGGCACTGTGTTGTCCTGGCTCTGGCCCTCCATGTCCATGTCCAGCAGTGTGGGCTGCACACTGGGGGGCCCAGGGCTCTCTGGAGTGTCTGGCCTGCTGGGAGGCGAGATGCTGAGTGTCCGGCCAAAGGAGACCAGTTTCCAGGGGTCCAGACGGGGGCGGCTGGCAGCTGGCCGGGGTCTTGGGGCAAAGGTGAGGGTGGTGGGACGGCCAGGGAACTCCAGGGGTCGGCGACGGTTGGGGAACAAGGCCTGAGGGTCGGGTAGTCGAGGGAAGTCAAGGGGGTCTCGAGGACCTAGGGAAAGAGGGTCACATGGGTGAGGGGTTGGGGTAAAGGGTGCCATTTCTAAGCCAACAACCCTCCTCGGAAAGTGGTGTTCCTGGCTTCTCTTGAAAATTCTCAGTCTTGCTCTGCCTGTTTCCTAGTAAGACCACAGCCATTAGGAGCCCCACATGAATAGGCCCCATAGCTTCCAATGGCTCATTCATCTGGAAGATGGTCTTTTTAGGTCTTGGCGACAGGGTAGCCTGGAATTCTGTGTAGCAGAGAATGACTGTAAATGCCTCCCCAACCTTCTGCCTCGTCCAGTGTTTGTGCAAACACCAGTTTTCTGTGGTGGTGGGAATCAAATCCTGCGTGTTAGGCAATCACTCAACCAAAGGAGCTACAGCCCCAGCCCAGTTTTCCCCTCTTTGGGAACAGGGTCTCATGTAGCCAAGGCTGATCTCAAACTCTGTATGTAGACCAGGATGACCTGAGTGCTGGCTTCCCAGGAGAGTGCCACCAGCTCACGTGGTCATCTCTGAAGAGAGATCAGCACCTTGCTGGGGCAGAGAGATTCAAATCTGACCACAGCGGCTATAAAACAGAGGCTGCCGCGGGTCCTGACCTGCCGTCATTTTGGCAAAAATAAGTAGACAACATCGTGCTGATAGCTACCCCTGCTTCCAGTCGCCATCAACTCACCTGCCCGCCCTTGCAGGCATTATACTGTCACCTCCAATTGGTCCCATCTCAGGCATCCCGAGCCCCATCGTGCCTCCAGCAATGAGGGTAGGGGGCGCAGAGGCTTCTTCCCCCATGCTCCAAAGGAGAAAGGGCAGTGGCCTGTCACGGGTGGCTTGTACAGGCCTCACTCACCTTGGTTAGTGAGCTCCAGAGGTTCTCGTTGCCTCAGCGCCCCATCCGATGGGGTCCGCCTGTGTCCCCGGCTCACTGCGTGTGCGGCGGTGACGTGGGTGGGCGTGAGCGACTGGCGGGGATCCTTCTTGAAGCTTTCCAGCTCCACGTCAACAAGGGGATTGGTGCTGGGTGAGGACACCAGGGGAGAGGGCGGCGGCGAGGGTACGGCGGGCGCAGCCTCGTCGCTGTCGGACCTCAGCAAGGAGCGCGTAGAGTTGCAATCGGACACAGAGGACAGAGACACCAGGGTGGCCGAGGGCGCCAGGCCCAGGCTGGGAGTTGTGTCATCGCGGCGACTCCCGGGGCGCCCAGTCGGGCTTAGACCCCGAGGAAAGCGGCCAGGACGTGGGAAGAAGAGGCCGTCCAGCCAGCGCCGCTGCTCCTCGCCGTCCCCAGCACGCGCCTCGACCACATCGGCGCCCAGGCCTACGGCGCCCAGCAGCGTGGCGCAATCCAGCAGCGCCAGGTCACAGCGCCTACGGGCTCCGTGTCCTGGCCGGGAGGGGGTCACAGCCGGTGGCTCCCATGGCGCCTGCGCGCAAGGAGAGGGCTCGGCGGGCAGGGGCACCTTGAGGTAGGACGGGGTGGAGTAGGGGGAAGGGGGCACGCTGTTGCCTTCATCTGCCTCCGCAAACTCTTCTGCAACCGGAGAGGTCCATCACTCGGCTGATCCCACCTTTCCTCACCTTCCCCCAGACCTGGTGGCAAGGACTTCCCCCAATGACCTCCAAAAGCAAGATTCCCACTCTACAGATGCCACTAGATGTCACCCTCAAATCGCTCTCCCCAAAGCCTTACTTCTGAAAATGAGCGCCAACCCCCAGGCCAGGAGCTGCTGTTTCTTCTTCTGGGTATGTCTGCCTAGGCCTGATGGCTGTTCCCTCGGCCACAATTTCTCTTGTCCCCTCCACTCCCCGGAGCACCCACACTCTCTTACCCATCTCATTGAGGCTCGCAAAGCCTGGGGCCATGGGGGTGTGCTTGGGGGATTTGCCCAAGTTTGGGGCGCTTGAGGACCACTGCTTGCTTCCTTCCCCCAGGGCCTTGAGCCTGCAGGGGCACAGGGAGATGGCGTCAGGGCATGGGTTAGGCAGGCACAGGGGCAGGCAGGCAGCTGAACACCCGTACCTCTCCTCTCCTCCGGCCCGCTCCTTCTGCAGAGTGGAACTGGGGCCCCATGTCCTGCCCTTCTTCTTGCCCCCAACCAGTTCTTCCTTCTTTGGTGGCCCACTTCGGCTCCATGTTCCACTGCCACTGCTGCTGCCACAGTCCATGGGAGTCACTGGGTGGAGAGGAGTCATAAGTGAGTCATGAAGAAGGAGACCCCAGCCACCCTAGGGACCTTTCTGATGGCTACTCCTGCGGTAAATCTTTCCCTAATGTTCCACTGCTATTGGGGCCCCTCAAACCCAACACAGCAATTGGATTCTTCTTCTTTTTTTTTTTTTTTTTCGAGACAGGGTTTCTCCGTAGCTTTTGGTTCCTGTCCTGGAACTAGCTCTTGTAGACCAGGCTGGCCTCGAACTCACAGAGATCCACCTGCCTCTGCCTCCCGAGTGCTGGGATTAAAGGCGTGCGCCACCACCGCCCGGCCTGGATTCTTCTTAAGACACTCCCCCCAACTCCTGAGCCTGTGTCCTCACTCCCCTTTCAAGGCTTCAGCTTCATTCTAGCCGGCACAGCCCTGAGCTCTGGGGACTGCGGCTCTCTTTCCTCCATGCTCCTGAATTCACCCTGGTTCTACTATCTCCTAGTGTGTGGCTCTCTGGTGGAAAGAGACCTGACCCCGCCAGAGATCACCCTCTGATCTTCACCCACCTGCACACACATAAACAAACAGCTGTAATAAGCACGAGTTACAGACGCTCCTGGAAGACAGAGCGAGACCCTTACAACAACAAAAGGCTGAGGATGAAGCTCAGTTTGCAGTGTTTGCCTCTTGTACACCAAGCCCTGGGTTTGCCGCCCACCCCCCCCCCCCCCCCGCACTGTGTAAACTGAGCATGGTGATGTGCCTACAGTTCAGAACCAAAGAGGTGGAGATGGAAAGATCAGGAGTTCAAGGTCATCCTTGGTTACACAGTAAGCTCCAGGCCAGGCTGGGCCACATGAGACCCCGAGTCAGGCAAACAAAGGGACAAGTTCAGTAGTTTGGGATTACACTGCCTGGGTTCAGTAGTTTGGGATTACACTGCCTGGGTTCTGCACACTTCCCCTGTACTGATGCACTTGGCAGCCTCACCCCTGCGCCTATAGGAATATGCACACACCCCCTCCAAACAATGCTCCTAACCCAGACCCCCAACCTAATGCCAGGCTTCCCCTCTTCAAATAACACAGATTTCTCCACCCCTGCTAACAATCAGATCTGGGTGGTTCCCATTTAAATGTACCCCCAAGTATCTGGGCTGACCTAGTATGAATTGATTTTAGGAACAACTTTAACCTCAAGTCAACTTTTAAGGTAAATCTTCCATTTCCCATCTTATGCCTATGCATAATTGGATACAGGCATACCTATACATTCACAAATTTACACACACGCACACACATGCACACACATGCATACACACATGCACACACATGTATACACACATGCACACACACATGCACACACGCACATACACATGCACACACATGCATGCACACACATGCACACATGCGCGCACACACAAGCACACACACATGTGCACACACGCACACACACACCAACAACAACGGCAAGGGCTAAACTTAGTTGAAGAACGCATGCTTTACACACATGAGGCCTTGAGCACTGCTAAACATTTTTAAAAAATCAGGAGCTGGAGAGATGGCTCAGGGGTTAAGAACACTGGCTGCTCTCTCAGAGGATCTTGGTCTGTGTGTTAGCACCTACATGACAGCTTAAAGCCGCCTGTAACTCCAGTTCTGGGGGATCTGACTCCCTCTTCTGGCTTCTGCAGGAACTGCATGCACATGGTGCGTATTCACAGAAGCAGGCAAAACACCCATACCCAAGAAATAAAAAATAAATAATACAATCTTTAAAAAAAAATACAGTTTTAAAAATCAGATTCTCTGTGTCTCCAGGGCTGTATGTTCTGGCTCTGCATCCCCCTCTCCACA